CTCTCCTTGGCTTCACTGTCCCTCCGAAGCAGCTTAAAGCTCTGTTTGGAGCCCAAAAATGGTGAGAAGCCAGAGCAGGAATGGACACCTCCATTTGCTGCTTCTGGTTTTGTTGTGATATCAGCCAGAAATCGTTTCTTCAGCTTTTTTGTAGAGCAGCTCTCTGTTGCTATCTTCTTTGTATGTTGCTTTATACACATTTGTTGTTAAAGCTTGATGTCAATCCTGAAATTGACATATACGTAGCTATTTTATTTAATCCTATCATATATTCCTTTTCTTTCTTTCTCTTTGCTGGTTATGGAGGGGGAGGATTTCAGGTTTCCCACATTCCTAAGGTGGGAGGAGTGGATATAGTGAGGGTTTTTTAGGCTAGGTGATTTTTCTTTCCATGGGAAGAGAAATTGACCCTGCTGAGACTTGGAGGTGGAGATTAATGACACCAAGCAAAGTTGATGTTAGGGAATGTAACTTTTGAAGTTGTTTCTAATTTCCAATATTATGTGGTGTAATTCTGGGTTGTGTCAGATCTGGAATTACAACAGACTTTGCCAATTTGATGCTTTCCTAAAAAGAAGAAATTGTTTTGGAAGGTGGACTTTGCTCGTTTCTTTTTAAATAGATTTCATCACTTGGAAATCTGACCCTTGATTTGTGCAGCTAAAATGAGCCCATTTGTCCCTTTCTTAAACTTTCCTACTTTTAGCCCTTGTCAAGATTGCTTTGCCTGATATTGTGTGTGTGTTTGTGTCTGTTGTCTGTGTGTGTACCGATCATATAATGCTTTGTCTTTCCATGTTTCTTTTTTCCCCCATTGGTCTTTCTTGTAGTCTAGTTTTGTCTCTTCAATACTCAATAAGCCTTCCTGGTATACTAGCTTCCGTGCATCTTCTTCACTATCCTTCAGATATTCTTTCAATGACCTTTTTTCTTCTTCGACTGTCTGAGGTATTTGCAATATTCCACCTAGTTTCCTTGGTAAGTAGAATATGTTAATATTGCTACATGGATAAGGGAATAAACTAGCTGCGATGGTTCATTGTCATTACTTTTCTAGTTTTCCTATTCAGGGCTTTTAGTTTTGCTTGAGTCTAGTCTGCTATTCCAACTGTGTATCTAATGATTGGAATTGGTTAATTGTCTCGATGGTACTACCTCCACTGAATTTGGACTTTGAAATTTTATCAATCCGCATATTTTCTAAGTGCTATCCAGTATTTTTTGGTGTCCTATTCAGTGTGCTGAAAATTATTGGGATCACCACAGCTAGTTTATGCCATATTATTTCAATTTGATTTTTACATATTGATACTTTGTGATACAATTCTTCTATTTTACTACCTCTTGGTATTTCGACATCAAGTATCCATACTTTCTCCTTTTCAACTTCTGTTCAATCTGGGGTGTTATGAGCCAAGATATTTACCAATTTGTATTTGAATATCTACAATCGTTTAACCTGCTTTTGACTACTTTTCAACTCTACATTCCTATCTATTTTCATTACTTGCAGAGGATAATTTTTACAGATGTTCTAATAAATCACTTTCATATAAATATGGAAGAATATTATTTTTGGCATATTTTAGTATTATTGCAGGATGTATATCAAATCTTATTTGTTTATCTAGTTTGTCTTCTTATTGTTTTAAACATGCATAAGAAAAATGTCAGAAGAGAAAATAGTACTTAGCCAAACTTCATTGATATCAGAAATGTTATGAAAAGTTGGATTAAGTTAGAGCTTAGAAAAAAACAAAATAAAATCTTAGGGAAACTTTCCTGTTAGGCAGTGGCTAACCATTTCTTTATTGTTGCTAAAACACAAAAAGGCACAATAATTTTTTTCCCATTATATCTTTATTTTATTTATTTGCTTGTTATATATGTATATTATCAGATTTACAGTTGTTTACAATTATTTTACAGCTCAAGACATTATACATATTTAATCACTATTTAGACTAAAAAGCCTCTAAATAAGAATTTTAAACCTTGTTCAATTTAATCTTCCCCTTTGCTAAAGATGTCCTTATTTGAGGTAATTTTTTTCTTATATTCTATTACTAGAATTATTACTAGAATAGCTTTGAGCTTATTTGAATTGATTTGTGACTTAGAACTGACTATTATCTAAATCAGTACTGAAATATTACAGGCATTTTATAACTTCTGAAAACATCCTTGGTGTGCAATTGCTAATGTGCATATCCTATATCTTATAGGAAAGCACTGAACACAAATTGAATAGTAATAGATGATGGTGTACCTCATAGTCCAGATCCAAGTGGTCAAATTCCCCATTGATACGAAATTGCTGCAAATGCCTATCAAGGGTGAGATTGATGTTTCTCCCATGACGCTCTATTAAAACAGAATGCCAATGGTGATCATCCAAAAGGCTACCTGTGGTCACAGATGTGTGCCCATAAATTGAACCATACTGGTTGCTACCTGTGAAAAAAACAGAAAAAAAATACTGATTTAATTTTATTTTGTATTACATTATTATGCTGCTCAGTGACTCTGGGCTGCAAGAACTAAATTTCATTAAATTCATTCACTAAAACAGCCTCCTGCAAATTTCTGTTTTGCTGGCAGAGGCACTGCGAGCCAGTCCTTTGCTGTTTTCAGGGGAGCCCTGTGTGTCAGATCTAGCCCCTGGGCTGTTAGTTTGATATCCCTGATCTAAGTGGTGTATACAAAAGCAACAAGAACAATATATATATATACTTCTTCTGAAACTCAGAATACAAGACTATTCATTTCCTTCCTCCTTTAACATTATGAACCTTAAGATAACTTTGTCAAAGTTTCTATAATATTTCCTTCTTCATCCAATTTCTCCATGCTGATAGGATTAGCAAATGACTTCTCTCCCCTCCTCACTTTTTCCTGAGAAAAGGAATTTGTGTCCTAATTGAATGAATGAATTTCAACTAAGATGCAGCTGTTGATCAAACAGATAAAGAAACTTTCACCTTCCCTTTTTTAGGTTTATAATCATGCTCTTTGATAATGAGAATCTGCAATTTTGCATGAAAAGCTAGGACTTATTGATTTACAAGCTCACATATATTTATTGGCAATTCCCCAGAGTATTCTAAAAATACTTCAGAGAAAAGCTGGAGTTCCAACAACCAGTATGTTCAAGGTAAATGAAATCAAATTAATTGATAGCCTTCCGTCTGCATGCCAATAGCTTTAAAGCCTGACAAGAACTTTCAGATTTGTTCCTTCCAAAAAAGCAAACAAAAACCCACCCTCTTGTGCTTTTTTCCTGTGAATTGTTTTAGTATAAGGGATCTTTTGTTCTTTCTTTTATCTCCTCTTATTCTAAACAGGCATTACACCTTATTCTGTTCCCAGAACTCTATTCTCAGATGCTGAAACATAATCACAAACTGAATTTATAAACAAATAATTTTGTAGTTTCTTGGAGTTATTTTCTATTTATACCTATTTATTTTAAGCATATGATGTCTCCAAATGCTGTAATTAAAAAGCCTCTGATGAACCATTTCCTCTTTTAAGTGTCTATATGATTTGATTTTTCCTTCTTCCTCTGTTTACCTTCAGGCTTTATGAAAAAAAAAGATAGACCATGTTATTTTTAAATAAATTAACAAAGGTAGGAATCTTTTTTTTTTTTTTCAGTGCCTCACCCTATTTACTCATGAAGTCTCCCGATTTAGCTCAGGTTGGTTGATATGTATTTCATTTTGGCCACAAATCTAGTCTGAGAGGATTGATTCAGTTTGGAATTTAAATATAGTTTATGTATATCTCCACTAATTTGTAGTAGTATAATATTTGCGTATAAAGAATATGTGCTTGCAGTTAGAAAAATTGTTTTTATTTTTGTTTAAGCTTTAAAAAGTATGGTAAAAATCTGGTATAAAGTGTTTAATAGTGTTTATGATCAAGTAAAAAATAAGCTAGGTGTAGCAGATAAGTTGTTTTATAGGAACAGTGGTAAAAACAACATTGTTTTATTTTAACTGTTTTAATGGATAAAATATATTGACGGTTTGATTTTATTTTGATTATGAATGCATGAATAAAATTAATGAATAAAATGTAGCTCAGTAGCAAAGCATATGCTCTGCATGCAAAAATTTGGGCCTAGGTACAAATACAACTTCCTTAAGTAGAACTGGGAAAAAAATCCTGTTTGAAACTTGAAGAGCCACTTTGGAAGACTTAACTCTAAAATAATAGTGATTTCAAAGGTGATTAGAAAATAAGATAGTACAACCCAAGGTCCATAAAGGCTCAGCTATGGTTGACAACTTGATTTGTCTACAAAACTCAGACCTGCAAGATGATCTCTACCCTGCAGTTTCTTCATATGGAGAAGCTGTTCAGTGGACAACCTTTGATCTTTCCTCATTCTGTTGGACCAAGCTTGCCACAGGTCTCTTGATCATCACTGTGTCTAGAGAAGTTTAGTTCTCTGATTTTTCTCATCTGAGAGTTTGTCTGTTCTGTTATTAAGCAGTTATGTGAGTAATATTTTATAAGAGAAATATACAAAGAAAAGTTACATAACACACTTCTTTCCTCTGCCTTACGTCTCGAGATATTATAAACCAGTTAGCATTGTCCTTGTCAGTCCTTTAAGGTAAATCAGATTAAGAAATTCTATCCTATTATTACAAGGCTTTGCCTCAGAATCTTGAAAGCCTGTCAAAGTTTATATCTGACCCATGTTACATTAAAAAAATCTAGGTGGTTTATTTGGACTTTGTGTATAATGTTTCCTACACTTTCCAGGCTATGCAATCTTTGCTGCCTGTTGTTTCTTAATCATTCTTTCATATCTCCTCCAAAGTCATCTCTGATTTTTTTTATAGTTAGTACTAGAAGCTAGTTAAGAAAAACCAGCTAAAAGCAATAAAATATAGTGATGCAAAGAACTGATGAGTTTTGCACTGTTAAACATTTAAAAAAATAATTTAATCACTTAAGCTTTACATTCAAACAAGTAAACATATAATTCAGGAATATTTCAATTCACACATTCCTGAAATAGAAAAGTACACATCAGAGTTAGGGCAGAGACAGTTTCAATCATTCCATTCCCATCATGTGGTACTCATGGAAGTATAGGAAAAACTATAACAAGTAACTTTGCCAAAGTTTTCTATATTGATTGATTATGTTATGCAAAGGATGCCAAAATAAAAAACATGGGCAGAAAAATAAAATCTCTGTGAATTTGCTAACCCTGCATTTCTGTCACATCCCTTCCATAGGGCCTTTAGTATTCCTAGACTGAGACCAAACGGTCTGAACTTAAAATTACTTAATTACTTAAAATTACTGAAAAAATTCTGATACTTTTCTCTGTAGGCTTTAACTAAAAAAACCCAAAAGGATTTGATTTCATTTCTAGATAAAATGTTCCTAAAATAAATCTATATCATTCTAGCTTTTTAAGATATTGTTTATTCTACCTAGAAGCTGATTTAAATTCTTTCTTTTAGAAAAGGTAAGGGATACATTTAGAGTTATAAATCTAATGCTAAGTCATATAAACTTTCTTTTTTTTTAAGCCATACCTAGATTTAAATTAAGAACCAGTTTGGCCTTTTTCAGTTCTAGGGTGATATAATCTCCTTGCTGGCCTTCTCCATGGAAGAGTACACCTTCACTTTCAATGGTTTTAAATTTCAAAGCGATGACATCTTTCAGGGTTTTCAGTGTTTTCTTCTTGTGTCCAAATCTATACGGTAATACAGCATGGCCATCAAAAGTGATAACATCAGCCCCTAAAGAGGAAAATAAAATCACTGCTGAATAATTATATACTGTTTAGGCTAAGTAAAACAAAATGTTATGTATTTATGTTAAGACAGGCAAGCAGATATTTAAGGAATGTGTCATCTGGTTTTTACATATTCAAACAGCACATGGAAAACTGTACATCAGTTTATGAGGTTATAAGATAATCTTTCCTGATTATTTTTATTAATATAATATAATGTAGAATAGTGATTTAATATATTGTTAAATATATGGGTCTTTCTCCCTGCTATTGAGTTAATGAAAAGAGACATTTATTTCATCTTCTCATGACATTTTTTCTTTATTATTAATCTGAAGTTCTGCCTAAAGATCTTGGTTGACCATTCAATGATTGCCAAATGTCATAGAAACTGGGTCTTGCCATCAACCTAAAATGAACCATGGAAATTATAAAGAAAACTTTCAGAAAGAAATTGAAGTTCCCAAGACCACTGAAAAATATGTGTGTAAATATAATTGAAAATAGAGACAGTCAAAAGTAATTATCTGAGGATACCAAATCAGGATTATACACTTTAAAATATTCTTCACTGTTGCAATAGCTGAGGATGCTTGAATGTAATTGGAACACACACACACACACATAATATGGCAGTATTAAACATGATAATTTTAAGATTTATCCCCAAGTACTGCCAGAATGACTGGCTGATTATTATAAAACCACTAATGGTAACCACAATGATTCTTCAGCACAGTTTCTATGATCTTAACTACGCCACTAAAATTTGGCAACAAAAAATCTTTCTTTTTTGTCTGTACAATTTTTGAAAAGAAAGAAGGGAACATAGAAGGGTTAATAAAAGCCTTATAGTCATAAATAAATATAAATAGAGCTGATACTGTCAATAGACTAAATTTAAAATAATTTAATTGGAATTCCAGAATAAACTCCAAGTGCAAATAAAGTAAATCTACAAATCTATTGCTTTGATAAATGAAAAATTTCTGTATTAATTTGACTTTTGGTTAATCATATATAGAATTAAATTTCACTCTCAAGTCTGCATTTTGGTAATTATATTTATGAATTTAGGAATGATAGAAGACCAAGCTGTTGTAAAATATTAAGGTCATATTGCACTGTAATTAAATGTAACTGTGTAAGATGTTAAATTCTAAACATTATTAAACATTGATAGAGCAATGAATTTTTAATATCACCTGTCCCAAGTCTAAAAGAAGCAAAATCAGCTGCTTTCAGCTTGTATTCAAGATACTGGTTGTCAATTATAAAACCCTCCTTAGCATGAGGCCACTTCTCTCCAGTTCTTTCTACACATCTTACATTGTCTGACAGAAGATGGTGGGTTGTTAAAGTTCTAGCTGACCTCACCACACCCTGCCTCTCCCAGTCACTCCTCATCTCATCCACTCACCCAGCACAGCTGCTGCTGCTCTGTCTGGCTCCCTGGCTTGCCTTGATCACATGGTCTCTGAGGGCATCCAGGTTGCTGACCTTTGGCTGCATCCCATGTGGTGCTCTCCATGCAGCCCAGCTGAGCTGCCCTGAGCTGCCTAGCAGCCTGGGTGAGCCTGCAAGCAGCAAGGCCTGAGTCCTGGCCTAGCTGCCTCCCATTGGCCTAGCAAGCTTGCCTGCCTTCTGCACAGCTGAATTCCACAGAACACTCTCCATGCATCCCAGCTAAGCTGCTGTGATCTGCCTAGGTGAGTGACTGCTAGCAGCAAGGCCCAAATCCTGGCCTAGCTGCCTCCTACATCATCCAGCACATTTTCCTGCCTTCCCCACTGCCTTCCCCACTGTCCCTGAGGCCCAGCACCCTTGCCTTCCTTTCCTACTACCTTCCTTGCAATCCTTGAAGTCCAGGGCTTGCTTGCCTTCCCCAATGCCTTCCCTGTGGTCCCTGAGGCCCAGAAAAGTGCAGGAGGAAATACCCCATTTAACACCTTTATTGGGCTGTCTGCACCATGCTTGATCATGATGGGGAGGGGGGAAAGCAAAAACCTACTTGGTCCGTAGATACTAACCAGCATTGTGGCGTTTGGAAAAGACTGAGCTGAAGTCTTCAGTCCGTGTTTCCAGCGGGAACATGGACCATTCCTATTGGCTGATGCAGTTTGACAACTGGCTATAAAAGGGAGCTGTCAACTGGCATCAGCTGTTGTCCGCCATTTGGCTGCCTTGTTAGCGTGGCAGCCGTGGCAACCCTTTATTGTTACAATAAAGTAAAAGCTGAAGTTTGCTCCTTGTTCACCTCAGTTATTCCGCTGCTCTACAACACTGGTGACGAGGGCGGGATATATATAAGAGGCAACTGGGCAAAGAATCGCTAGGTGAAGTCACTACAAAAAGAGCCGAAGCCACTACCGAGCTGTATGTCACTTTAAGCTTACTGTCAAGCTTACTGTCACTATTCGTGAGCGCGAATTTCAACTTTCCTCAGAAGATCTGGCACCACTGAGTCGAGATGACTTCAAACCCTGCGTTCCCGCCTCTCAGATTGACAGCAGAAACATGGGAATCCTATAGAAACCAATTTGACTGTTTCCTAGATGCCATAGACCTCGCTGACATTTCCGACAATAGGAAAAAATCCTACTTTTTAAGTTTTTGTGGAGCCACAGTGTTTGATACTGCTATGGCATTATTGGCTCCGCATTCAATTAAGACTGTTCCATGGGAAGAATTGCAGGAAATTCTTTCTAACCACTATTCCCCTAAGCCATCCCGAATTGCCAGGCATCATGCTTTTAGAAGACGGATTCAGGCTGAGGGAGAGACTATTAGTGGGTACATGGCTGCCCTACAAACAGCTGCCTTGCACTGTGGATTTAGAGACTATCTGGAGGACATGTTATCAGACCAACTAGTTTGTGGAGTCAGGGATTTAAGGCTACAAAGGAGTTTATTGACTAAAGGGGATTTAACCCTTAAATTAGCAATTGAAGAGTCTCAAGCTGCTGAACTATCGGCACTTTCAGCAGCAGAAATTCAGGAAAATCCAATTAACCAGAGCAGCTCAGCCATCCATTATGATGAAGCCTCCATAGAAGAAGGTTATGAAGAGGCTAGTGATGTAAATAGGCTCAGGTAGCCCAAAACCAGTGAAAGGGAAAACAGATCAACCCCCAATCAACCTCCACAGTCTCAGCCCATTTGTCTAAGCTGTGGGGGAATGCCTCAGGCCATCCTGCAAGTTCAGGAATGCCATTTGTCTAAAATGCCAGAGAAAGGGTCATTTAGCCAGGATCTGTAAAGCAGAAAAGACTTTTGCCCAAAAGCCTCAGACAACTCAGCACTTCCAAAAACAAATTGAAGACTGTTTCACCTGTAATCAAGCCAAGCTGACTAACAAAGTCTCTAACAAAATCAGTGTTTTTGTTTCTATAGAAGGAAAACCTTGCAGTATGGAGGTTGACACTGGCTCAGCACTGTCCATCATCTCATGGAGCACCTTGAAACAACTGCTTCCCAGAATGGCTAAGAAGAGGCTTCATGGCTGTCAATTAACCCTACATGACTACCAAGGCAGAACCATCCCAGTCATTCGAAAAGGCAAGTTTTTTATTCAATTTCAAAATTTTAAAGGTCACTTGCCTTGGTAGTGGATGGTGCACTCCCAAACCTATTGGGGTTAGACTGGTTCCCTGTCCTTGGCCTCCATATAAGCGGAATCTACTCTATTGCAAATGCTGAAGTGGATGCCTTGTTTAATGACTATGCTGATGTGTTCAGCGAGGGCCTGGGCTGTTACTCAGGAATCCCAATATCTTTCAACTTAGACCCTCTGCCAGTACCAATCCATTTAAAGCCTTGAAGGGTACCTTTTGCAATCCACCCCAAACTAGACATGGAGCTAGACAAATTAATTAAACAGGGTATATTAGAGCCTGTGGACTTCACAAAATGGGAAACCCCAATAGTGACATCCCTGAAGAAAGACGGCAGTTTAAGAATCTGTGCAGATTACAAGAGCTCAATGAATAAATATTTACAAATCAGCGCTTATCCAGTCCCAGTTATCCAGCACCTGCTGCATTCTCTTGAGCCAGGAGCCATTTTCGTGAAACTAGACATGTCACAGGCCTATCAACAGTTCCCTGTTGATGACGCAGCCACTGAATTACAAACTATTGTAACGCACAGGGGAGCTTTTAAATGTAGGCACCTCCAATTTGGCCTAAGTGTGGCCCCAGGAATTTTCCTATCCTTAATGGAAAGACTACTTCAAGGATTACCTGGCATAATTCCTTATTTCGATGACATCTTAATATCTGCCCTGACAAGCCTCATTTACTGCAAAGAGTCAAAAGAGTCCTCAATTGTTTCAGGAAGCATGGGCTTAAGTTAAAGAAAGAGAAGTGCACTATTGCCAACCCACAGGTCGAATTTTTGGGATACAGAATTGACGCCTCTGGTGTTCACCCAATCGAATCCAAAGTAAGGGCTATTCATGAGGCACCCACACCAACTAACAAAACCGAGCTCCAGGCTTTTTTAGGACTTCTTAACTTCTATGCTTCATTTTTGCCACATAAGGCTTCCATTGCAGAACCTCTGCATAGACTCTTGGATAAACAATCCTCGTGGCATCGGGGACCTAAGGAAGCCCATGCTTTCCGTGCAGTCAAATCATTGCTTACATCCGATACTGTTCTGATCCAATTTAATGAGCATTTACCTTTAGTTTTAGTAACACATGCTTTTCCTTTTGGCGTAGGTGCCTTTTGAAGTCATAGACTGCCTAATGGTTCTGAGGCACCTATTGCCTTTTTCTTCAGAACTTTTTCCCCAGCTGAGCGCAACTACAGCCAAATTGACAAGGAGGCTTTGGTTGCAGTTGCTTCTGTCAAAAAATTCCATGAGGTTCTATATGGACACCATTTCAAGTTAGTTACAAAAGCCTCTGTTAGGTCTTCTGTCAGACGATAGACAAACTCCTCAGATTTTGGTCTCCAAGAATGACCAGGTGGACTTTATTTCTGGCTGCCTATTCCTATA